CAACACTGAGCATCAGCTGTTTAGTGCTACACTAGGGGTCATAACAAGTCTTTTCATTCTGACAATAGCTTGTTATCACATATCAAAAACTTATAACCCCAAAATGAGACTTAGACCAACTCTGAACATATTACATTTGCACAACCATATCAAAACCTAATTCATTTTATTTGAGTAGATAAAATGTGAGACATGTCACAATTGATATACGTTCTTATATAAAACAAGAGAACAATATACACCAAGCACAATTATAATGCGAGTATGGCACAGACCTCTCTAGAAATCTCACTGAGCATCAAATTATACTAGACATTGTTAGCTGCTGGATTCTATCTAGCAGGAGTAGTCAAACTTCAGTCCTCCAGCTGTTGTGGAACTTCAAGTCCCATAATGCATTGCAAGCCTCTGACAACCACAGGTAGAGGCATGGTGGGAATTGTGGCACCCTTCGGAGCTGCGTTTATGCCTTTTCAATAAAGAAACGTCATTAGGAGGATTGCTAAGAGTGCCAGCTCTTTTCCACTTCATTTTGTTGATTGGGTCTGGCAGAGATTCACGCTGAGCACCACAGTCCCCATGGAGTATTGGGTCTGGAAAGGTAGAGCAGCTTTATTCTTGCCTTGCATGGTGGGATTTGTAGTCTCATCAGAGTTTGAGGGCCAAGGTTGGGTTACCCCTGCTATATAGCTTGTTTAGAGTTTGCTCTATGTGTTTTGCAGGAGTTCAACCCAGGAGATAGTGGTCCAAGAGTATGTAGGTACCAAGGAGGTTTAGGCTACCTTTTTATGTTCCCAGTTTGTTGGAAAACCTCTCTCATCTTTAAGCGTCTTCCTACTAAAGTAGGAGTATGACAACCCGTCCGATTTTTCCTTTCTTCTGGTATAAATATAAGTAATATACCAATAAATGGTTACTAGAGCACAACACCAGCTCTTTCCTTTCAGACACTACTGATAGAAAGGGTCCGGTCATGCCTCAACCTCCCCGAGACTTTGTGTTTTGGGGAAAACATTGCATAATTAAAGCGCTTCATTAGACTAATGTGCATCGCATAAGAAAAACTTTGCGAATCTGAAAAAATAGCCCGGAGCAAGTCTTTTTAAACACGCAAATTAAGCACTTTGAAAAGACAATAGAAGCTTTGACTTGTGTGCTCATTCACCCCTTTCTTCCCTAGCTGTTTCAGTCAAAGAAGAGCCGGAAACGGAGGTACGAATGGTCAACGGGAAGCCCAAAAAGATCCGGAAACCGAGAACCATCTACTCTAGTTACCAACTGGCTGCGCTGCAGAGACGCTTTCAGAAGGCCCAGTACTTGGCGCTGCCAGAGAGGGCAGAATTGGCGGCCCAGCTGGGGCTCACACAGACACAGGTAAGGACAACAAGTGTATATGACAACACACTGCAACAGGCAGTGATAAACAGATGTAGACTAAGATGGTGCAGAGAGTAGCGAGGACGTACAAAGTTTAATGCCCCAAATAACCAATGAGGGTTTAGCTTTTAACATTTTCTGATTGGTTGGTGTGGGCCCCTATGTGTTGCCTGACGATGATTTCGTCATTCTACACAAATCTATGTATGGGCATGTATAGTATCTTCCACAAATGTATAATGGCTACATATATCAAAATATATTTATTAAATATTGACAAATGCATATTCAAAATACAATTACAGTGGAAATGTATTTGCCGAAACAACCAAGCCTGATGTTTTTACAGCCCAATGAACATGTGTGTGAAAGAGAAATATGATTGGTTGTCATGGATTAGATTACACCGTTGGTCTCTTTTTTTTTTTACTCCTGCATGTTGAAATCTATCGCCTTTAATTAGAAAACAGCCATACTTTTACTTTTTGCTTTATTTTGTATACGTCCCTTATATTGCACCTACGATTCATATTTTGGTTTTGAGTGGACATCACTGGTGAGTTGGCGAGATCTCTCTTCCGAAACCCAGAACTCTCACCCATTGACCCCAGAAAACACGCACAATAGAAAGATTTGGTTGACTGGAGTTGTTCTAAAATAACACACAGTAAAGACGAGGTCCTAACCCAAAGCGCAGTAACCCATAACAGCCAATGAGAAGTAATCTTTCATTAAACTGAGTCTTGGTTGCTACGTGTACCCCAGATACCAATTTCTTTCCACTGGCTTCTCAAGAAGAGCAAAGGTTCTTCTTTACTAAGGCAGTGTCCAAGTTGCTTTTTGTGTGATAATCCTTTGCAACCAATCAAAATTCACTGATCTGACTGCAGTCAACTGAGTTTGGATTGGTCACTAAACTCAAAGGCTTTGAAAACTCACAAAGTACACTAGATCCTCCTTGCTGTACAGCTGTAACAATTGACAACACAGATGGATGTTTGCCATGATCCTACCACTCCCAGGGGGAAGCCCACAAGCATGAGAAAGCAAGGTCTCAGAGGACAGCAAATTATAGGTCTCCATCTGTTTTCTGAAAGAGTTCCCCATCCCCCCACCTGCTCCCTTTTATACCACAGGCATCACTCCCCCAAGAGGTCTGGCACTGGCAAATTTTTGTCCTGACACACAGAAATGAGGACTGCAGTTCAATTCCACCTTTTGGTAAACGTGGCATAACAAAGCAGGACCACCCCAAAATAATATTTTAATGATGAATGGAGCCAGGTGGGTCGAGTCAGCCCCTGGCTTCTTGTATGTCTTGGATACATTGATATTGGGATCTCCCTGCCTTCATTCCCAACCTGTCCATCTGGGAATTTTAGGTGTTGCCGCCTACTTTTGTGGGTTTTAGCTCCATCTGTTTCATTCTCCATACTATAAAATAGATAAATATTTAGTATGAAGTGTGGAAGACCTTTATATAGGAGTGCAAACCCAAGAACTCAGAGCAGAGATCCCACCAAGTGATATAAGAACTTGACAGGTAGTTCAACGCTCCAGCATCTAACTAAAATGGAAATATTTGTTTTGAGGGGGCACTGACGCTTTATAATCAACACTGTAAAGATAGTTTATTACCAATTTCATGTTAGATGTACAGGGAGAGGTCAGGGGGTTAAGGCCAGAAATGGTGTGGATTGATACCTGAAGATAATCATAGACATGCTGGAAGGTTAATTGGCTCCGTTCTAAGTTGGCCCTCTATGTATGTATGCATGTGAGATAGGGACCTTAGATTGTAAGTTCCTTGAGGGTAGGGACTGATGTGAATGTGCAACTATGTAAAGTGCTGCATTAATTGTCGGCGCTATATAAATACCTGTAATAAATAATTAGACAGACTCCCTAGGCAATGAGCAACATCTAAATAATTTTTAGATATGTTTGCAGTGATCTGCCAATAACCGGTCCAGTTTCACGAATACATTCAAACTGGCCTCATTATATAGATATACAGTATATTTGATGGATATTATGGATACTTTCAGAGCAGAAAGAGGTGGGTCACCAAAGCATTCAAAGAGACCTCATTATATAGATATAATTTTTATAATGGACTTTATGAATACTTTCAAAGCCTAGGCAAAAACAGAACAAGGTGGGTCACCAATACATTCAACCTGGTCCTGACCTCATTATATAGATATGTTTTTTAATGGACATACTGGATATTTCAAGAGCCAAGGCAAAAAAGGAACAGGGCAGGTAATGAATACCACCTATAAAATTGATGACCGTCCTGACTTGCATCACCAGGTTTGTCTCTTTATATACTCTGCAACAAACAGAAGGAAAGCAAGTTTAGGTTACATGAAAATAGCATTTTGTATAGATCCTATCATGTAGGACCTGGGCCCAAAGGTTATATTCTTGGTTGTGAGTTTACAACTAAAAAGTTTTCTGCTGAACAGTCTGCTGAATCAGTCTGGAATGCTCGTTCTTTCCATAACTAGATTCTTCACATAGGCCAATCAAAAACCCATAAATGTGTGCACTTAGGCCTACGTTACTCTAGCAATCCTGTTGTTAGATGTCTAGGAAAGCACTCATCTGCTTCTACAGCATCTCTTCTTTGTAGGACCAGAAAGGGGTCACTGAGACTGATAACTTCTCTTGGTAATGACTGGTCACTTCTCTTGGCAATGACTGATTACTTTGCTTGAAATCTGACAGTTTATCAATAGTTTTTGAACCAAGACCAACCAATGAACCAAGTGTTGGCACATCCTTGCCATTTAAGATGAAAAACCATCTATGGCCAACGTGCACAATGTCACAGTGTTGAATTTGCCACTGTTGACACCCTTGAAGCCACTTTACCAAATTGAAGAAACTTCATCACAGGCCAAAAAGCAGAATCTTTATAGCTGGCAGAGATGTAGGGTCAACTCGCTTTGAGAGAGCAACACCATAGAAGAAGTTGAATGGACCCTTTGAAGGTGGTCACCGATGACAGAATTGCTAGTGTGACATGGGCCTTCAAGCTTTGCTTGTTTGTCCCGATCTGCTAATAACTCATAAAAATAGTGTGGGTGGCCACACCATAATGGGTGATAGCGGTCAATGGTTGGGCAGGCATGAAAACCAAATCATCAGATTTCGGAGCTCACCTGCCTCCCAGATTATGGATCTCATCACCTTCAAACATAGAGATGAAACTGTTAATAAACGACATTAACAAATCTAAACAACTCTGGCGCTGCAAACTTTTTTTTTTAAGGTGGAGTTCCTTTTAATATGATTTTCACTTTAACACAAAGTGCAAATGTTTTTATTTGTGTTATCTGGTTAACGTGAGCACAAGCTCAGGTGTGTACCTGTCCACAGGTATGACATTCGTTCTCTATTACTCATGCATCATTTAATAACAAAGCAAGGCAGAGCTGTCACTGTCAAAACACTTTGGTCTTTTGTTGTGCAACTGTCATTGTGTACACCGTATACAGTATCTCATCTACCGCTGTGGAGCCTTGGAAGAGCTACAGCTCCCAGCATGCCCAGTCACAGCCTCAATTTAGGTTTCCAAGCTAGTGTAACAAAATGGAAATTGGAATTTGTTTTATAAAATAAATTCGTTTTATATGAAATATTATACATTTGAACATATATTAAAGGAATGCAAATATTTTAACCAGCAATGCATAAGGAACTACACTGTACCTCTTTTTTAAAAAATGCTATCTATGGTTTGTTTAATAAGACTGAGATGGGGCAATTGAAACATGCAGAGTTTGGTAGAGTTAGGGTCGACAGCAGCCAATCAGAGATCATCTTTAAGCTGATGTGAATCGGACAGAAATGTGATTGGTTGCTGTGGAACCGCACCTCAAGCTGACACTCGGGACCAGGCAGCATATTTTGAATGGGAACTGACAATGCTGCGCTAGGAGGAGGCAGAGGAGCCTCTCGCCTAGAAAAGTGGAAGGCATGCGGGGACACACTGAACACGGGCTCGCAACCCATTTTTGGGTCACGACCCACCAGTTAGCATTACTAGTAAAAGCTGGTTGAATGAGAAAAATCACTCGATTTACGATCCATGCTCAAGAGCATGAATAGAGGAATCCCCCACCACCAGCTATTGTATTCTGACATCTGGCACGGGTGTCAGTATACCCACATGGTGACTTCAGCTCATTGGCCGAGTTTTCCACCCGACTCCTTGTTGGCCAAAAGTTCATTGACATTGAATTTTATAAAGGTTGGTTGGTGCTGATAGGGCCAACCACGGATCCAATTTTGGCCAATTCAGCAGGAAACAGCCAAACTTCGATCTGTGTATGGCCAGCTTAAGTTAATGATGAAGTCATTGTAAATTTGTAGGATTCAGTAGGGGGCCTGTGTTAAAGTGTATGGATAGCTAGAACTTTCTTTTTAGTTTTGGATGAGTAAGAAAAGGTTAAAACCTCGGTCACATTATTTTTTGCTGTCTCGTTGGGGAGATTTTCCTTCACTTCCTGTCCTGGGAATGCAACAGGCAACAAGAGGAAAGCTCTACAAAGTGAGGGGAACTCCCCTTTTAGATAGTGGTCACCAGTCCCGGTGTCCACATTGGAAAATTCACATTCATCTCTTTTTCCGGTGACCACTCAGAATTTTGAGATGTCCCATTACCATGTCTAGTGACATTGGTAACCAGGATATAGATAAAGAATTCAAATTCACCTCTTTTTCTGGTGACCACTCAGAATTTTGAGATGTCCCATTACCATGTCTGGTGACACTGGTAACCAGGAGATTATATATATA